GGGGAGGGGGGTACCCGACAGCTCCTTAGGAAAAAAACCGACCCTATATGGGATTTCTGCGTTCCGCCACCCCCTTGGATTTGACAATGACGAAAGAAAAACAACACGGTAGATGCAGTGGCCAACGTGAGGATCGAGCCTAACACCTTCGCGTTAACATAAGCAACATCCAACTTGAATCTTCATATTAGCACGACGCTCTAACCAGCTGAGCTAGCCGGCCTGCACCCTCTGCGTGCACTGATCAGTAAATCCACCGTTTGATGGCGGCCTGTTTTGATGGCGGCCATTTCGCCAGCTCGCCATCAAAAGACTCTCTTGCGACAAATCCACGCCCAAGTCTACACACATGTATAGAAGGAGACGAAAGACGACGGGAACAAGATAAACTGAACCCAACGGGCAGTCCTGCGACACTACAATATTGAGTTTTCATCAACATCAATTGAAATGCAACTTTACTCAAAATTAGGAACTTCTTGTAGACGCCTTGTAGCACTTGAAGGGCTCACCAGACAAGAATTATTTTGCTACGAAGATCTGCATCGGGGAGTTAAAAGAATGTTCAGATACAAACTTGTTCAAAATCCTTCCAAAAATGCAGCGATGGTGGGGATTCGAACCTAGGTTGTCGAGGTGGTGGATGGCGCGGTGGAGGGCCTCGGTACCAGCTTGTGCCGGGTGGCACCACCTGGTACCATCGATCACCATCAGGGCGGGGTTTTACTGATGCATGTGGCGCAGATTTTCATCTATACCAAGTATCCTCCAGCTCAGATCATGGTGCAAAAAATCAATCTCGTCAGACCAAGGGCGAATATGAGCCTTGAACTGACAGCCAGGCTCTCGCTTTTATGAGTAAGGACATGTAAGTAGATCATGCCAATGAAGGTCTGGATCACATTCCATGCCGTCGAGCCTCAGCGCCCTCCACGAACAATGTGACAGCACAAATATTCGACTGGGCCGGCCGTATGGCCAGCGGGGGAACCGAACTCAAGATGACCTTCGTGTTAATTTAGGGGCATTCCGCTAATGCCTAGGTTCGCACAACGCTCTAACCTAGCTGACTCGCGAGCCGGCCTCAACACCTGCATGAGGTTGGGGCAAAATACCAATCACTGTAGAGGTATTGACGCTGGGGTCCAACCCATCCGTCCGCGTGACCGTCATACAATGCACCCGCTGCCGCATGCATTATTACTAGTAGTCATGGAATTTCTTTAAAAGTACGTATGCGTCCATGACTCTTAATAATATTTGATATGTCGCTCTGCATATCGAGATATAAAATGGTTGCTTCCCGACTGTACCACAGGGGGCAAGACACGGATCGAACCCACGCTGCACATTAATATTTGAACCTAAATGTAGCTTGGCGTGAAGCAGGTTGAACTACTAGTTCTATGCAGATACGGTGCTCGATACCTTGAAAAGGACCATCATCACCGTGTATAATTAAAAAGCTGGAGAACTTTTCATGATCATTAACCAACATGGGGATCGATCCCATCAGTGAGGTCGCGTTAACAGAAGACTGAACGAGTCCAGTACGTAGCAGGCCTTTGAGTATATGATACTCCACGTTGTAGGTACAGTATGTATCGCGATTCGGGGGCGTACTGAGAATGCCGGGTGTTGACCTGCACAAAAGTCAACGGCATGGGGACAACCTGGGCATCGAACCCAAGACCTGGTGTCGATATTAACATGCCACTCTTTCTCCACTGACTGCGCGAGTTGGCCCATAGTCATATGCACGGCACACGCTACTTATCTAGATTGATTATGTGATAACGGGCGAACTGAACAAGCCGTGTGGGCCTTGCAGACGTCGATAAGAAGCGCGGGAGAACCTTGAGAGTTTCGAGCATCTAAAGTCTGGAGAGGCTCCTAGCGAAGTGCTTTGCAATGATCGTCAGGCAGGCTTCAGCAAGTCGCCAAAAGTCAGAGTCAGCTTGTCGCTAGTTCCAAGTTTGATGGAATGGCAAGGCAGTATGGACATCAACTCGAGTATTGATTGTAGAGGTGGGCGGGCATATGAGGGGTCGGCTGGCAAGTCAGTGAGTTCCACTTCATCAGAATAATGGAAACCCTCTCACCTCCTCTTCCCTCCGCTCGCACCTCCCTTATCACACTCGTATAATTTCTGCATGCCCCTTGCATTCCTTGCGCCCAACGGGTCGAATGATGTCAGGCTTCCCCTGCACAATCACACTGTTAAGGCTCGAGCCACTGATGACATGACACGAGCTCAGACGCACGCAGGCAGTTATATCTGTCACCTCCCGACAGACCGAACACCTGGGATTAGGGAGATCAGCGCCTATTCTAGGAGTGTGTGGGAAAGGAGAAGACATATGTGGTCGGGTAACACGGGTCACCATGTATGGTATGTGGATGGTAGTAGTCTTCCCAGGTCGCGTAGAATCTAGATAATGTGATCAAACCTACGCAGGCTTCGGATATCTGTATCTAGAATCCTAGAAGGCCTGGTGGCATCGCGACCCGTAACAAAACTCAACAACAAGGAAACGAAGAACTTGAGAAGAACTAGAATAGACTCTGTTGAAATATGTCCCGGCATCCGACGCAAGTCCAGCTAATCGACAAGATAAGATAAGATATTGTTTGATCTCGGTGGGCTCGGGAGGCAAACGGATGCTGAACTACAACGCAGGAGGGAAACCATATACATGAACAGAACAGTATAAGTAGCAAGGAACACTAAATAGGTTAGTCCGTAGAGTTGAAATGGAGTCACGATCCGTGAATGGCTGTGGACCGCAAGGAAGACAATAGTGAATTCCAGAAAAAGGTATTGTAAATGTTCGTATCCTGGTCCGATATTCTAACAGACTCACCACACAACTAACACTCCCGATATCCGTACAAGGCCCAACTCTTTGCACCGACTGTAACCTCAGGACATTTATCATTCTGGCTCTTGTGGATATCATCTGCGATGGGGTGTTATTGAACAATCTAGGTCGCAGTGCGCCTCATATCAGCCTGCCTGTCCTCATGTTATCAAAGAAAAAATAGACACGCACTGGGGTTCCCCAAATCAGCAATCTGAGGTAATGTAAGGCAATTGTTTGCATGATAAAAGAACACATTCACACCATGATCAGAAGGATGGATGCTCCCACAACCAATGAATCTTGATTTCGCATTGGATGGCAAATAGGTAGCTAGAGACGTTGATGATGGTGAGTGGGAATGAGCCGAAGCTCTTCACACGACCAGAACTTCTACCATGCCTTACATAAATACTCACCCTCCTTCTTACCTCCTCCATTCAACCGTTTTCATATTGCAAACAGCCTTGTAGGGCCCATTCGACTCTGGAGCAGTTCGGTATGTTCTATATGCCTGACACAAAATGTATTATCACTGACCTTACACATCTCTTAATACATTGATTTGCTTTGAATTGGATGGTAACTTCAGAATGTCGCCTTATTCTCAGCATCAATATCAAGGAGTACTGGACAGATGATCTGTTCAATATTAGTACAGGATTTAGCCTCCCGTGAAGTATAAAGACATACTGTGTATTGCGACGTGGAATGGTTCTATCCATCAAATTTATAGTGCGCAATGGCGACCTTATTTCTCAACAACCTTGAAGGAAAAGGAACTGCATTGGAGTGGGGACCCTATGAAATTAGGACCCCGAGGCTGGGTGGTCCGGGCGCGTTTTTTGGTCGGGACGCCGGAATACTCCCAGCCCGACTTTATACCTTCACCTTGTCTGGTCATTTTTATTGTTCTGAATGACCAATGTGACCATGCTAACCTGGACACAGGAACGTCCTTGGAGTTATATGGAACAGTTCCCCAAGTTAATGAGGGGCCCGTACCTCACAGCCAGGTCCTAATAGATCAGGCATCACCTTTCGACGTATCTTTGAAGCCTAACAGCATCTCCAATATGTTCCTTCAATTATCCAATCTCTCTGATACAACACATAATATTACATTCCTCGATTTTCCAGCTGTTGAAATCGACTATGCAACTATTGCCGCAGGCAAGGACACTCCATTGAGCAGAGACCTACTACTTGTGGATAACGCCGATCCTGCCGTACAATATACAGGCAATTGGATATCGAACACCAGTTTGGTAACTAGAGGGAACAGCAGCAGACAACCTCATAGGAATTCCACATCCGTCACCGAAGAAGTTGGCGCTACTGCAACGATTACTTTCATCGGTGTGTCTTACCATCAATCAATCCAACGATGGATTAGGTAGCTGACACTGGCGGTAACAGGCACAACTATTGCAATCTACGGACCCTCGCCTGCACATGACTTCGTCATGGTTGAATGGGTTATGGACGGGGATCTGGATTCGAGCACGGATCAAGGTTACACGAACTTGTCGCCTCAGGAAACAAATAACACATACTTTTGTTGGTTTTCGGCAGACTTCATGGCTCCTGGAAGGCATAATTTAACGATGACGATGTTGGTAGGGAGTATGGCTTGGGATTTCTTCACATACACTCCATCATTCCTTTCACTCCGCGAAGTCGACAACACGACAGAAAGCATCTCATCCACAAGCCTTAAACCAACATCTTCCCTAATACCGTCCCAAACAGGGGTGGCTTTCCCTACACATCTGTCAACGCACAAGGCTCCCATTGGCGCTATCGTTGGCGCATCCATTGGGGGAGTCGTTGTGATCTGTGTGCTTGTGGGCCTACTTCTGAAGGCATTGTGTTGTACGAGGAGAAAGAGACTAATGTCAGGTGTGTATGTGAAGCATGCAGGGCCTTAGGCTGTTTAACGCTCACTTTCCGAGGTGTAGTCATAGTACCTTTCCCACTTCCTGCAGACGACGAAGTGCGATCTCTGCTCATTCCCGAGGAGCACAAGTCCAGCATTCACGGACGCTCAAGGCGACTTGTCGAGAGATATATCTCCAACGTACCCCACCATACTACAGGAGAAGATAATAGCCGCATGCCTTCGTTTCTCCGCTGGCTGTGGCGCTCTCGATCTGGGCCTGCAACAAGTGAGCCAAATGAATGTTTTCAATACAACATACGAGCTCATTTAATGTTGACTAGTTGAACCTTTTCCTGTTCTGACACTACGACGCCAGATCAACGATCTAAATGCTATGGTGCAACGGAAGCCAGACCTTGCCACACAAAATTCAAGAAATATAGAAATACAAACCTTGCGACACACCCCACTCCCTGTGTT